TAGAAATTTAAAATCAATATTTTCAGCCAGTCCTCGTCGACGGTAATTTCCGCCAAACGCTTTAAAGTTTGCGAAAAAATGACATAAGTTTACTTACAGTCTGAGTCTTGATTTTTACATATGATATTTTAGAAACTTTTAAAAGAAAAGTGAGCTAATGTTCAATTATAACTTTTATAACTAACTAGGTGATATGTTTAACTAATTAATGAGAAGTTTATTTATTTATTGTTTACCTATTTGTGAATTCGGCTAATCCACAGGGGACCAATGAAACTCTTATCTAGACGGTTATTAGTACACCTTTACTCCTCATACTCGTACAATGTAATATTCGTGCTCACTATCACCGCTATTTTATCAAACTAAAAGATAACAAAAATATATCATTGTCAACTTATTTCGAACGAATCATTTTTGTTCAACAAAAACTTACTAAGGATGACAACGTGGACGGGATCAGTTTTACTTGTTTCTTTACGAACTAACTCCTGCCTCTTGTCTGCAGCAGCAGGAAATCACTCTCGGCATTACGAACATGATTCAATTTCCGTTGGAAACGAGATTTTTCAAAACCCCCTTACACCCTGAGGCGCGCGATAAGTAATGAAATAAAACAATGTGGTTAAATACAAGAACTAATATCTATAAAAATTCCTCTATGCATAGCCTCTGTAAAAGTTTTGTATACATTTCAAATTCAAAAAAGTTGTAAAATATTTGATGATAGATTCTTGCTCACAGTACTGCTTGCTCTGTACAGGGTTCCTGTTGTTTTTGTAATTGTTTTAGCATTTATAGAGGCGTTGGACAGAGTTTTATAGCATCACCCACGGCTGCAAATTTTTTTTAAAGTCGGACAATAGTAATTTTTCTTACCTTATTTACAAGCTACGCTCGCGCCAAAGGTGTTAAGTTTTACTAACATTCAAATACGGTTAGAAAGTTCAAACTCGGACCAGCTAATTAGGAGTGCAGTAGTAGTTCCATGCAACCGAATTCTGTCATAATACGTTTAAAGAAAAATACGTGTTACGAGTAATGGAATAGTCATCAATTGCCTCGTTCATATTTTTTTTCGCAATTTTTTTTTTCGATCAAAATTGACTTGCGTCAAGACGAGTTGCGAATGATGGTTTCTTAAATGAGAACCATTGAAAGTTATAGGAAAGAACGTGGCTAAGTAAAGCGAAAGTTCTTGATAGAGAAGAAAGTATTACATCGAAAGGAAATGAGAATAGAAAGTAGAAAGGATGGGTGAAGAAAAGGCATAAAGTTCGTAGAAAGATGAAATACACATCTGTCGTATAAATAACTAAGTTTAATTAAGTACATTAGCAACAGTAGAACCTAATTTTAGCACAAATATCTTAATAAAAGTAAAAACTTTTTATATAAATATGTTAGAACTTTCTTTTTGCAACTGCGGCAGCGGCACGATCGCGATGTTCAATACCGCTGCGTTTTATCAAGTGGGGTCACATCCGAGAGCTCAGCTAACCGCCTTGCTCACGAAAGTTGTAACGCAACACGAAACCTCTTATTTTAATGTTGAATAATTGTGTAATACTAAGATTCACGTCGCGTAGAAGCGTGTAGGCGGCCATCTCGACATGGTTATGCAATATAAGGATACGGAATGACTGGGACATCTTTATAGCGTGTGAAAGTTTTTATCGAAGGAACACAAAGCTATATTTATAATTCACTAACGAATATTTATGAATGCTTCGTAAGAACCTTCGGGAATGGAAATACGATGTACTGCAATGGACTGATAGATTATTAAATGAAACTATGTATTTCTTCCGGATATATCGCTTTTCCACGTGGGCCACAGGACTCACCGACAGTTTTTTTTTTTCTGTCTTTCCGAAAAGACTGCACTGCTAAATCCAAAACAACACACAAGAAGAAGATTGAGAACACAATACTACCTATAGTTTACGGAAGAGATTTCATCCAGTTATTAACAAATCGTATAAAAAATTCTTTATAAATGGGATAATTGATATACCTATTGTCTAAACCAAAAAAGGAATATCGAGATGACTTAATAGTGAGACGAGATGACGACGCACGAAAATTCCAGAATAGATCTAGGTTAATGCACATTACTAATCGGCATTTTTAAGAATTGCGGGATCTGCAGTGAACTACAATGATGTACATTTGTTAGATAAAGCAAAGCTCCGCCATATAGTTTCTGTGGTTTTTTGAAAGGCTAGAGCTTAGTGTTAAAATAGTATGAACTTAAAAAAAACTAAACATATGGTAAGTATGTAAGGGTTCGGCTGAACATTAAATAAGTGACACTATCAACATATCCAGAACCTTTTATGTGTTTCGAATTCGAAAATAACTTTATTGACAATTAAATAAGCACAGAAAAACCTGCCAAACAGATTGTTATCGTCATTATCCAATTTCAATGCATAATGTCAGGGGGAATTAATTCTATAATCTATTTAACAGCGACAGAGCTTTCCAATCACTTTCAGATTATCACAAACAATCTGTAGTATGCGCTGTACACGACAAATAGCAATAAGATTTAATTGGTAATGGCGGGCGTATAAAGCCCCTTTGTGCCGTTAAGCCCATTGACTGAAAATTGAAGAAACCCTATATGTAGATACAAAATGTTATTGTATAATTTTTCGGTACTCGTATATAACAACGATCAATTAGCTATTAGCATTCCGTTACACAAACTCCGTAGAGTTTATTAATAGATTATCTATCTTTTGTGTATCTTTACTTAGCAAGTAAATGTCTGAAATCATTCACAAAAAATATCGAACAAAAACTACACAAAGTTAAGAAGATCAAGCTAGGTCCAAAATACGGCTGTCTTCCTTGTTTAAAACCTATCTATCCATTAAATGTGTGGACAGTTGGACACTTTTTTAAATCTTTATACTTTCTGATTATATTAAATCAGTCCTGTTAAAAGGTTGTAAATCTGGCTGTAGGCGGTAACAACATAGTGTCACAATTCGAATGCCGGTACATATAGCTTTACCTATATATAACTATTACTGTGAAACAAATCAACTTTGTTCAATACAAGCATAAGTATAGAAAATTATAAACGCTCAAACACCCATATAACATGGCAAAGATATTATAATTTTAAAGTAATTTCTATGTTGAAGAAAAAAACACGTTAGCCATGGCTGTTTCGTATTAAATAGCTTCGGGCAATTCATAGACAGGCGCCCGAACATTTCATTACGTGCTGTGTACAATATGTACGCCAAACTGTACTTCCGGACAAAGGCCTATATAATGCTGTTATTCTGGGGGCCGATTTATCTGATAGTACGGTCACATTGTCGAAATATATGGACATACTGCGTCCGCACTCTCGCATGACATAAAGTACGCGCGTTGCAAGCGGTTGATATTACTGTCACGGTTTATCATTCCAAGTAACTAATTCAAATTCAAAATTCAATACAGAGAAAGAAAAAGAGAAAAGAAATATACATTTCATTTATCGATAGTCATTTTTTAAATCTACCACCGTTTCGTAATGAGGTTCCTCTAACGGAGAAGAAACAGGCGAAAGAAACTCTGTAGGTATCCTCTTTTTTGTCATTTTTTTTTACTCAACAAATACATAGTTATAAAGTATATATTTTTTTTTAGAAATAGCTTAGGAGCGATCATCTCATTCCCAGGGGTTATTGTCGTTAATGTATTCATTTATATTATAATAACCCTTTTAAAAAGTTTTTCTTTAATAAATGTCTTAAACCTGTTAATAGATAGGCTTTGCACATTAACTGGGATTTTGTTGTAGAAGCGTATACACCGTCCCATGAACGAGTTACTGACTCTATGTCTATGGAGTCTAGTAACTGGCGTTACAAGCTTGTGTTTGTTCCTAGTGTTTACATTATGTACACCAGTATTCTTATTAAAATTATTAATGTTTCTATGTACATACATTACATTTTCATAAATATATTGAGAGGCCAAGGTTAAAATATTTATTTCTTTAAATTTCTCTCTCAGAGATGCATTCAAATTAAGATTGTAAATTGCTGTTATGGCCCTTTTTTGCAAAATAAATATTGTTTCAAAATCGGCTGCATGCTGGAAATAACTAAAATAAACGACTAAATAGTTCAAATGCGTTTCTTAATAAGAAATTAATATATATTGACGATGGTCATAGTAAAACCACATCTATGTTTAGACAGTGCGAATAAATGCAATGAAAATGGACTCGTAACTAATTGCAAGCGGCAATGCAAAAATTTCGATTATCGTATCACTATTTACGTTTATTAATTAATTATTATTGTTAATAAATGTGAAAGTGATAAGGAAGTGTAACATGCTAAAATGCAGTAAGATTAATAATCCAGCAGATGCTTGTGCAAATTTAAAAATTGGATAAATCGCACCATCAGAACTTGATCATGACACATTTATTTGGGACTATCCCAGGAAAACCCCTTTCCAGCAATCCATTTTATATTACTACACTCCAATTAGGACAATTTTATCTCTGGTGACTTGGTGTGTCAGTATTTTGTTTAAATGTGTAAATACCATTAAGAACTATTCCCACATTCCTGTATCTAGAATTGGACTGTTATCTACTATTCAATCTGATAGCTGGTGACTAGTACTTAATAGTATAGTAACTTGATTGTACTAAGACGGTATAGTTTCATTTTAATAAGACTATGCTTATGGGTGTTAAGTAATTACTACCGTGCATGGAAGTTCAAAACACTCACAGCGGGACTTTGCATTGCTAATCGCACAGAGTGAGATACCTCACTCGAAGGCGATACGAAACATACTAAGAGCGAAAAGTATACATACTAAGAGTTCTCCTCAACGCCGATCTCCTGCCGTACTGTTTGAAATTGCAAAAAACAAGTTCGATTTAACCATTCCTTTTCTCACGAGTTTATATCATGTTGTTTCATAATAGTGTGGCCTGCTGTTGTTTAATTAGTAATTTTGATTTGTTGCAGCTACGATCGCGACCAGCCGTTCACATTCCAAATTGGCGTCGGTCAGGTAATTAAGGGATGGGACCAGGGTCTGCTGGACATGTGCGTTGGTAAGTTTCTTTTTAATTTTTATTTCATACAAAAAAGACTATCCTCAAAGCACACAAGAATATGGCGAAGTTATCAAATATAGGGTTTAAATCATAATTCTGATTGCAGCACGTAAACCCTCTTTAACATAACGTCGTAAATTTGTATGGGATCAGTTTATTGCGCTTCAAACATGTGCAACGAAAAAAAATCAAGGAATTCTCGTATTTGTTTTGCAGAAGTTATTCAAGCTTTCCCTTTAGAGAAACATTTTTCCACTTCACAACATCAGCTTTAAGTTGAGTAAAAACATAACTTAATTAACACCTAACTCAGTTCTTCCAAAGCTTAGATACAATTAAATAAAAATACCTTTTTTGCCCGACATCAAAGAGAAACAATTATCTGTTATATTTAAGAGAATTGTATAAAAGAAATACATAGTAGGTACTTACTATGAGAAATAATCTCAAGCACTTTGAAAAAATATAAATCTAATTTAAATTAGCAAACCCTCTAATAAAACTTAGCGTTTGCCTATTCCTAATTTATAATATCTAATATATAAAAGTCTCGTGTCACGGTGTTTGTAATTGAACTTCTCCGAAACGGCTCCACCAAATTTCGTGAAATTTTGTGTGCATATCGGCCAGGGTGGACATTCGGACAATATCTATTTTTCATCCCCCTAAATGTTAAGGGTGGTCCATCCCAAACATTTTGTTCTACCCTACAAATAATTTATATGGCAAAACAACGTTTGCCGGGTCAGCTAGTCTTATAGTATAAACGCGAACAGTAAACATTTTAAAAAAAGTATTGTTACGGCCCTGTCGATCAATACGGTGGAAAAAATATAACCCTTAAACAGGGTTTCATTTAATAACATTATCCTACACCATAAAAAAGAAACCAGAACCTATATTTGTTATTATTAGTAAGCTACTTCCAAACCCGTATTTATTTTCTCCCTACAGAACATGCTTTCGTCGTATAAAACTCTCGACAATTATATACCCCGTACTACCCGTAATATATGTATTGTTAAATACAAAAATGCCACCAATGTTTTCTCGAACGATATGAATGCAAACAACGGCTTCGGTTTTATTATAAACTTTCACGTAATGAGAAGTTATATACTTAATAAATGTTAGTAGATATATAAAATTATATAACATACACTATACCAGTACGTTATACAATGATAACATTAAATTAATAACTCCTGTTTACAAGATGACGCATTAAGCGTTTGACCAATCTCTTAATTACTTGTTCATATTCGCTTGTTACTTATCGTCAAAAAGCTTAGCAATAACCATTATTTACACTTCCATGAAGAGAGAGAGAATGAATTAAAAAAATCCCAAATTAAAAATCCTAAGCTAATTAAAAAATCATACGATACTAAAGATATCCGTGTTGAATTGCAGGCGAAAAGCGTAAACTGACCATACCATCCTCATTGGGATATGGCGAACGCGGGGCTGGTAACGTGATCCCCCCTCACGCCACGCTTCATTTCGAAGTGGAACTGATCAACATTGGGGACTCCCCACCGACCACCAACGTCTTCAAGGAAATTGATGCCGACCAGGATAACATGTTGTCCCGTGAAGAAGTGAGTATAGAGTTAGCGTTCCGAGCGATGGACACAGACGGCGACAAAGAATTATCCCGCGAGGAGGTCAGTCTTGGATAGATTCTCAGGTGGAGGACGTGCTTGTAATTTGATTGTGCAACTTCCGTTGCTTCGCTCCCGAACTATTCAAAGCTTATTTTGTTTACCAAATTGTTGAAGTCCATGTATTACTAGTTATTAGCATTCACTAGTAATTTCTGTTCCTTTCTCCCCTCCAAGTAGCTAATGAGTGTTATCCATATTTTAAAAACTATAACTTTGTCTTTGCTCTTTGAAATTTCTTTTTCTGCAATATTCTATAATTAAATCTTTACATGCATAGCCTATTTAATATACATAAGTAGATACCTTTTTGTATATTATCTAAACCCTTATAAATTATTTAATTATTACCACTTTTTGTCACCGATTGTTACTACAATGATATGTCAACAGAAACCATTTAGTCTGTGGGACTTTATCCCACTTGGTAAACTAAAAATAGGTACTTAAAATTGCAATAAACGAGTTTGCCTTTTCTTATGAGTTCTCATTATACTTATTGAGAACTTATGAGAAACGAATATATCAGAAAGTAATAGGGTACATAAAAATATACAGACCAAAGATTCTTTTTCCTCCTTGATGTATTATGTTTTCGGCCTACTGGGGATTCAATACTAAGACAATATATAAAATTGACCTTAAAAATGTTTTACGCTTTGGAGTTCGTCTCGGCAACACTTAATTTTTAATGCTCATCCTCAAGGGTGTAAAAGCAAACAACAAATTATGTTGGACATATTTACAATAAAATATAATTGAAAACAAAAATCTAGACGTGTCTCGTTGCTAATTATTATTTATGCCGTCAAAATAAAAACAGTCTAGCAAAAAAATGTTAAAGTTGTTGACTCGTTCACAAAAATGTGAAAGCAATTTATTACCTATTAAGGTTTAAGGCAATTCAGGGTCTGCCGACTTTCTATTGTTTTAAATGGTTACACTATTAATAAAATAAAATTATTAAGCTATGTTATGCTCGTCATTAAATAAATATTTTATTCTCTATCAGGTAAGCGAATACTTGAAAAAACAAATGGTGCCTGCGGACGGCGCCGAAATGAGCGAGGACATTAAGCAAATGCTCGAGAGCCACGACAAGCTCGTCGAGGAGATCTTCCAGCACGAAGATAAGGACAAGAACGGCTTCATCAGCCACGAGGAGTTCTCCGGTCCAAAACATGACGAGCTGTAGGCGTTTCTAGTTATATTTTTATCAGCCGCTACTTAGCTCAACATATAATAATGTACTTTAAATCGGATGCGGCGAATAAGACTTCTGATAAGCATGTGTAATTTTTCATTCTTTCTATTTGTCCCTCTTAACGAACGGCATCGTTATCAGATAGATAAATGAAATAACAGTGATAAGAGGGTGAAGTAACGTTTCTGTTTTGAGTGTGGTAATTGAATTTTGTTGAAACGTTTGTACTTAGTTGTTCTAAGTTGTTGGTGTCTATAAGTTTGTTATCATATTAATAGATACAATTCTATATGTATATTATAAATGTATAATACTCGTGCATGTAATGTTTCGGCCATTCTGAATGATTTTAATTTTATATGAGCACAAATTTTTAAACCTTAAAATTTGTATATATCTTAAAGATTATATGTATATATACATTTTATTTTTGGCGCCATATTAAAAATTAAGCAAGTCTACCTTATTAACATATTATGAACTTGGATTTAATTATTCTTTGGGTTTATTATTTAGTTACACAAATTACAAGTTCTACTAAATGTGCAACTAATGATCTGAAAAATTATGTAAGTAGACTTTGTACTCTGACCTATTTATAATAATCATAAATTACATTGCATACATAATCAGTAGTTGGTGTCGTAACATATCAAATATAAACCATTAATTAAATCATTCCTGCATTAAAGTAAAATAAACATAGGTACTCAACAAAACTGCGTTTCACTTTTTCCCCATTAAAGTAAAAAGTAAAGTAACAGCCTATACATATCCTACAGCTGGGCAAAGGCCTCCTCTTTTACAGAGGGTATCAGGGTATTTTCCACCACGCGGTCCACTGCGGATTGGTGAACTTCACATATTTTCAAAATAATTTTTTGTAAAGTTAGAACTTAAAATTAACAATTTTGTTGATGCTGGCACCAGGGTTTGAACTCATGTTGCTCGAGTATATTGAATTAAAGGCGACCGTCCGGACACAGAGCTATAATAATAATATACTTTATGTACACCAAAAAATCAAATGAAAAAGTACAAAAAACAAAACATTTAACAAAATATTGGTCATCAAAAGGCGGCCTTATTGCTACACAGCAATTTCTTCCAGGCAACCTCAAAAATTTACCAAAAGGAATTGTTGATGGGTAGGATGTACATGAAGGAAAAAAACAATAATAATAGTAAAAAGAAAGCAGCAATTAAAATAATAAGAAAAACATAAATCTTATATTGGCATGGAAACAATGATTTTCCCACGAAATAACAACTGGGGAATCGCTGTAGTTTAACTGTGTAGCTTCGGCCTCTGGCGCTTAAATTAAATGTGTTTTTCTTTCTTACGCCAGTGTCCTAAAAATTCGGGCACTTCGCAGTCAAGCCGGCCCGGCCCACTCATGCTTCTTGCCATATACTCAGTAAATGCAGTAAGGTATAGTGAAATTCGATATTCCGAGAAGTTAATTGTATTAGTTAAGTTTTTCATAGTATCATATTATTATATATTGCTTTACTTTGGGATGACAGTTATGTCAGTTGTGGTTGTGGATGACAGTTGTGGTTTACACACAATATTTGTATCACAAATGCCATCGATACGTGGTGCTCATGGCTTGGGTCCTCGTGAGTCACTACTCACTCCGGCATTTTTTATAGCAAATAAACACATTAATGCTCCCGCCCCGGTACACATTCGAGAACATCATATAAGTACATCATAACATCCATCTTAATATAACAAAAAAGATATAACACATCGCGTCGGAGCCATGGTGGCATTCAAACATTTCGTTAAAGCTATCCCAATGGAAAGAGCCTATTATAATGTCGAAAAATACATCGAGGACAAGGATGACTTAAAATGACTCTTACTTTACTCTTTCAAGCCACCTGTCTGCTGCTGATTTTTTATATTATATTAAGCCAACAATGAATAAGCTTATATAGAATAAAGAAAATTTAACATAGAGACATTCATCCATTCTTTCCACCATTTTGTTAGCTCCATTATGTCTGGAATAGAATATTAATTCGTTATCTGAAGTAGAGGCTTACGCAGCAGCTCTGCTGTTAGTTGCAACGGTGAAGTCACGCCCGCGAAAGTATTGCTTTACTTGTTTATCGCGTGACTAATGGCAGAACATTAACATGGACATGAAGACATTACGGACATACGAATCATTACGGGTTAGTGACAGTAAGGCACTAAAAACAAAAAACAAAATATTTTATGAACGTTATGTTTTTTATGAACATAATGTTCTCCAGACCCGAAGGTGTCCGACGATGATTACCTACCGCGGTATGAGCTTGAATTTGTCCCTATTCGCACCGTTTGGTATCAATCATACTTTAGACTAACTAAATTCCTCTAGGTATTCCTCTTCGCCGAACTACACATCTACAGAGTAACAGACTTGCAAACCTCCTCAAGATATTCCTCTTCACGTGATATATTATCAATTACACATACATTAATTACTAGTATGAATCTATTATTATAGATTTTAAGAAAAAAACGTAGTACTGATTGAAAGCTCAGAAGCTGCGTTGAGTAGTTGCTTGTCTTCAAGTTCATAAAAATCATCCTTACTAATCCTTACTAATATTATAAACGCTAAAGTTTGTATGTATGGATGGATGTTTGTTACTCTTTCATACAAATACTACTGAATGAATTTCAATTAACCTTTACAATAATATAGGTTATACATCAGAATAAGACATAGGATATAATTTATATATATTTATATATAATTTATATGTATTTTAATGTATATATGTCTTTCTGTCTGAATGTTACGCCTTCAGCCTATTCTACGCAGACATAGTCGCGGGCAGCAGCTAGTGTACAATAATAATGAAAAATCTATCTGCTTCTGGCGATAATTTCTGCTTAAGAGGTGCAGTTTTTCTTTGTAGCCTCTTGCGTTTTGAATAACTAATGTGAATTAGACTCCCTGGGCTGTTTTTTCTATTTTAGCACATAGAAAGTTCTAAATAGTCTTAATTAAAACTTACGGCCAACGGCAACTTTGTCCTCTTTGTTTTTATGCCTCAATTTTTGTAGTGTTCAACTACAAACTAAAGTTCAAAACTTTATGTTATCATATCTGTTGCTATTGCTTCTAAAATAACTCATTAAAATCATGATTGTATGTGCATGCATTATCAGACGTCAGATCACCCTCATATCGGACGAGCCATTTACTCTATTAATTTTTGAAGTTATACTTCTTTAGGATTAGTTTTAATAATTAAAGTTTAGTTAATTATCTCTTGTATACTCTTATTTGATGTCGCTATGGCGGCGTTCGATAAAGTTTGGCATAAGGCCTAAGTTTTAAGCTGTACTCACTAGGCATGCCAGAAGCATGACGAATTATACGTTAAAATGATACGAAACTACTTATAGAACCCCTGCTTTCAATACCGAGTAGACTCTCTCCTACCCCCGCCCCATCACAGCGGGCACCCCACAAGGATCATTTTTGAGCCCAACAGTATACTTGCTGTATATAAGCGACATCCCCAGGACCAAAAAATGATGTGCAGTAAACGCCGTTCACGATGGCGTTTAGTGCACATTGGCCATGGTCAGAATGTGGCGGAACGAAGTAAGCCCGGAGAAAAGTAAAGCGGTCATGTTTAATTGCCAATCAGGCAAAAATCTCAATTCTGTTAAAGTATACAACCAACCCCCATTCCATGGGACAGTAGGACCAAGTACCTTGGCGTCATTCTAGACTTACTTCTCCCCTTCAAGTAACACATTTGCGCAGTAGCCAATAAGGCTAAATTTGTAAGGTTTAGCCTAGCTTGCCTCTTGGGCGACAAGTAAAATGTCGCTAAAACGAATAATACATTTCTATAAAACATGTATTTGCCCCCTTCATGAGAAATGCAAGCGCCTGTTTCGTGCATATCCCTCCAAATAGATTCAAGCCATTACAAATAATTCAAAATAAATTTAAAAAAGAGTCCTTCGTCGCATAATAGGCGCTCCGTGGTACATGGGGAAGGCCGATCTGCATCACGACTTTTTTAGAGGTGCCAATAAGACACTTCAAAAGAATTACCTCCCATACGAATCCCTTGGTGAAAGCTTTCGGAATCTATCCTGCACCCTCTCGCACTCTCGCTCGCCTGCCGTCCGATAAACGTTGTAGGCGACAACGTTACAATTTTAATTTATATAATTAAGTTTTGTGATGTATTTTATATTGATTTAATTTATTACTCTTATGTTTTTTTTTATTTATAATTTAATATGTAAGTTTGTACTGTTATTTCCTTTTTATATGGCAACTGCGAGCGGGCACGCGAACGTTACATTTTGAATTTGAAATAAATACAGGTACTTTCTGACTTACATGTTCCTTCTTCTTTTTCCGAACGCGCGCTCTGCTAACGTTTACTGTGTCCACGTATCCAAGTTTTGTAATTGTATTTGTACTTCGTTGCAATTAAAGAACTGATAAGACCAGTGCATTGAATTTTACTGCGAAACTTCTATATAAACGTTATTAAACGATCCAGACGACACGCTAATCGCGCGATTAACGCGCTGTATGCAGTAAAAATAGGTTTTTCAAAAGATTTTTTAACAAAATCTATACATTTTATTAATAATCTTGATCTTACATTCTAATGAAACATTGTTTTCAAAACATATTTTTAATATATTTTCTCGATAGAAATAATCATGAAACTCCCTCTAACGAGAAATTAAAATCCAAAAATGAACGTAATACGTCATTTTTGGATCTACAAATCTTAATGAAATTAATATCATCATCATTTCAGCCTGTTTGAGTCCACTGCTGAACAAAGGCCTCCCCCATAGAATGCCATGAAGTACGATCCTGAGCCACCTGCATCCATCGACTTCTCGCACATTTGCAAGTCTTCGCCAGAGATCTGTTGATCGCCAAAGCCAACTGACTAAGTTGAAGACTGACAGCGGGGCTATCATCTCCAATAGACCA